ACCGTGTGCATCTCCCCGCGGCACTGCCGGCTGCGAGGTGTAGCCCCGCTCTGCGTGCTGCGCAGAGGTGTGCGGCCCTGCCTCGGGTTTTCCATCGGGGTAACCGTCTCCGTGGGTGATCCCGTGCCCCAGGTGCTTTGATTTGGTTTTGGTAACAGGCAGGATCACAGAGCGGGGACTTTAAGATGTGGAGTCTGTCGGCCTCTAATTTAGAGCTGGGGCTGTGATGTTCAGGGCAGGATGGCAAACAAGTTTGGCAACCTTCTCCTCCGCAACTCTTCCTTGTCAAATCCAGAGAGGATTTGGGGATCTTTTCCACAGATGGATTTGGGTCCCCGACAACCTTCTCTCCCCTGTGCCGCAGTTTCCCGAGCTGTGAAGCCAGGGGAGCGGTGACCGCCGCGGTGATGGGCCGTCAGGCCGGCGGCCACGGCTGGGCCCTGCCCGTGCCTCCGACAGCAGCCTGCGTGCGGAGGGCTTGGGCACGGTGGGACGCGCTTGCCCCCCATCAGAGAGCTGTTTCCATGCAGAGCTGGTGCTTGTTGTAAACCCTTCTTTTTCTGCGAGGCAAGATAGTTAACACCACTTAGCCAGTGAGGTTAAAAATACCCTTCCCTTCCCCCCTTGTTGGCTTTGTTTCGCCTAAGAAAAATAGTTGTTTTGCCTAAGAAAATAGTTGTGTTTTGAGCTACCAAAATAACTCCCCGTGTCAGCCTGGTAGAGTTCAAGGTGGAGCTGGGCCCTTCCCATCTCCGCTGTCTCTTTTTTGGTAGGAGTTACTGACTTGAGACCATGACTCTCCTCTTCCATCAGAAGGGGCTGAATTGGAGGATCTCAGGACTTCTAAGATTAGGATCTTAATATTTCTAAGAACAACAAAAAACCCCTTCTGGGCTGGAGACCTTCCCGTTAACACCAAACAAGGAGAAATACTTGTGTAATCAGTCCTGTGCAGGGACTCCTGCAAGCAGGACCCTCCCCTTCGTGGGAAGCCATCAGTTGAAGAGCATCTCTGAGAGCGTGGAAGCGATGAACGGTTCGTAAATGACTTCATTCCTGTCTTAAAGCTGTGAGCTTTTAAAAAGGAGACAGAGGATCTGTAATCGGTTTTGCTTTTAAAAGCAGGGGTGCTAGGAGGAGGGCATGGTTCGCCAAGACAGAGGTAGTGTTTAGAGGCAAGAAAGGCCGGAAACTTTTTAGTGAGGGGCTGGGAAGGAGGTAATCAAAGGAAACATTTTTAAAAGATCAGCGGAATATATTTTAAAACCAGTTTAGGGAATTCAGGTGCTGTGGGTTCATTCTTTCCTTTCGCCATTGGAGAGCCTGATGAAAGTGAATTCAGGGTTTACGGCAGAGCGGGCTGTGAGCACAAATAAAAGCAGTAAGCCAGGCTGAGCACTGGGCTGGCCCTTGGTGGCGTTGGCACGTGAGGCCGCTCCGTTTCCCTTCATTGATGGCGAGAGGAGCCAGTGGTGACGCGAACCAGGGCTCGGGAGATGGGAGCGACCTCTTTGTGCCCGGGGCCGGGCTGCTGCGCGCGGTCCGGGCTCTGCTCAACCCAGGCACCCCAGAGGAGGGTCACCGCCCCGCTAGTGCTCGCTCGTGCGTCCTGTCCAGCAGCTCTTCTCGGCAGGTTTGTGGTTTTAGCCCAGCCTGGTTTTGCTCGGGGAGGCATGGCGGGGGATTTATGCCTTGCAGGAGGTGCTGGGGGTTTAGGAAGGCCGGCTCTGCAGCATCGCTTGTGAGCCGTCCCCCGGCACGGGGAAGAGCAATTCCGAGCCTGATGATGGATCCATTGTCAGCCCTTCAGGCTCCGCTTGCCTTGCTGACCCGAGCCCCCTTTGAGGACAGAGCTGGCACCGTTGCCCTCCGGGCTGGGTACAGGAAGATTTCCCTTGCATTGCCTCCTTTCTTCTTAAGCACCTTTTCCAGCGTGGCAACCTGCTTCTCTCTGCTTTACTGTAAATATTTGTATCCTGCTAAACGGTGACTAGAAAAGTCATTTGAAAAACAAATGTCCTTGTGTCATGCCGTTCTCAGCAGAGATCTGGTGCTGAAGAACCAGATGGCAGCGCTGGAAGAGGAGCGTAGCGTTAGGTATCTCCCCTCGCCCCACGGTGTTTTGAAGCCTGGTGCTTTTCCTTCTGGTCCCCACTGATGGCTTCCCTCTGCTGAGGTTACGGCAGAAGACTTGCATTGCCAGGAGGAGCACGTGGTTAAAACTGGCTTTAGAAAGCGGGGTGGACTTGTTAAAATCTCCCAGAAAGAGGTCTGCCTCCCCAAAGCCAGTGCTGGAAGGAGATGTTTAGTGGCACAGCCCAGTGGCCTGCTGGGCAGAGCGAGGGCTGGGGGGGCACATGCAGGCAGTCACGGCAACCGGCAGCAGAGGCTGATCTGGGGTTTTGGGATCTGGGTGATCAGCCCTTCTGTAGGAACAGCCTCCTCCTCCCAGAGGCAGGTGTATTTCCTCCCAAAGCAGAATAGGACATTTGGTTAAAAACCCCACACGTTTGTGGGGAGATAAGTGCAATCCCGCTTGTGCTCTTTGAGACCTTATTCCTGTGTATTTGAACCTCGCAAAGGTGATGTTCCTGTTGCTAACAGGATCCCCTCTGCTGCCTGGCGGGTGAGGCCTGTGCTGCATAATCCCCGGGGGCGGCTGCTCAGCTCTCCCGGGAGCATCCCTGCCTGGAAGGCGGCTCTGCCCTTTGCCTTGATGGTTTTCCAGCTCGAGGCGTGGATGCCTTCCTCCGAGCTCACCCTTTTCTTGTCTTCAGTGGCTTGTTCCGATCTCAGATCTTTTGTGCTTTTGCAAGCAAGAGATACTACTCTTGCCATGCAGAGCTGCCTTTTCCGTGCTGTCTTCCCCTTTGGCTTTAGTGGAGATTTGAGTGCCAGCGAGCACTTGCCCTGTTAGCTTCTTCCCCCGCAGTGCCGCGGCGGGATCTGTGGGTCGGCACAGGGGGCTGCCTGGGCACAGCAGAAGTGATGCTGGTAGAAAGTCGCCCACTTGCATTTCAAATGTCAGCGTTGTTCTGGAGCAGCAGATTCCTCAGTGGCCCACAGACCCCACGCTGCACCCGGTGAAGATCCCCTTGGGGTGACCTACAGTGAGAGTTAAAAATAAAGCTAGACTAAGTCTCCTTGCTAAGCTCTCTGTCAGGAAAACCACCAGAGTCTTTACAACGCTGCTAAGCCTGAGAATAGCTGTATTGAGCATATAACGGGGTTTGCCAGGTACAAAAAAAAAGACTCAACCACGTGTGAGAGCAGTCCCAAGACTACTCCTGAACCCTGTTTTTGCCTCCGCGCTGCTTTGTCACCAGGTTGGAGAGGGTGAAGCCTGGTCTGGGAGACTTCTAACTGCACAAGGTAGTAGGTAGTTGTTGCTTCAGACACAGGCGGAGTGGAGCTGTGATTGCTGCTGCTCGCCTCCGAGGAAAGCCAGGCTGCGTGGGAGCTGCTGCTTCCCTGAGGGCCAGATGCTGCCACGGAGGTGATGGGCACCAGCTCCGCTCGTTTCCTCCATCCACTTACAGTTTGGAAAAGGAAGCACTGGGGGATGGAGCTCTTCGCCCTGGGAGTGTGTCTGGCCTTCTGTGTACACCACAGGCTCTCCAAAATGGAGATTGCCGTGGATGCTCAGAGGAGCTCTTCCAAGGATGCGGCCCTTCCCCTGAGCAGCACCAGCGGGTAAGGAATGCTTTCCTGGCCTGTGACACGGTGCCTTCTCCCGGGGACGCTGCAAAAACCTTTTTGTCACCAGCAGCAAGCTGGAGCATCACGTCGAGGTGAGATGGAAGGGCCTGAACGCTCTGAACAGGCTGCTCCGCGTTGTGTAGGGGCGAAGGTGAACGTGTTGTGGCCTCCAAGCCATGAGGCTCATACAGGGACGTGTCTGAGAAGAGACACTGCTCCTGCAAAGGGAAAGCCGGTCTGCGTTCACCCTTGATTGGATGGGAGAGATGGAAACCAGCTTCGTTAGTGCTGCTGCCTGCTTGGCCGGTGCCAAATCCCATCCACCCACCCACCCATCCCACTCCTCACAAGTAACTGGACAGGACTGAGGAGATTATTAAATCTTTCTTAAAGAAATATATATCACAGCAGTGTGCTTGCAGCACGGAGGGGTCTGGCAGCGGGGACTCTGAACCGCTCCCCTCTGCAGTGACCGGGAGGCCAAGGGGACGGGTGCTGTGACCCGGCGCTGTGGCAGCTGAAGGTGCCTGCGACGTGCCAGCAGCCGGGAAGGTGCTCTGGCTAATTTGTTGAGACAAACGCCGCAGGTTTTCGGCCTGTCGGTGGTTTGGCAGGTTGCAGAGCCGTGACTTGTTTCTGGCCTAAACCGTGGCAAGGTTGAGGGCTTCCAGCACTGGGTTGCGGGGGGCTGTCGGTCCCCCGGGTGCCGGCCGCACCGGCTAAGCTTCTCCGGTGGCATCGGCGGGTTTTAACTGAACCGAGCTTCCTGGGAGGGAATCCCTCTCTTCTGCAAAAAGCAGATTTACCCAGGGGGTGTGTTGTCCTTGCCCAGGCTGCAGCGGGCCGTGGATCTTGCCGCGGCCGGTGGAGCTGCCGGCCCCTCGCTGCGGCCCCACGGCAGGCACAGCCGGGCGGGCTGTGACCCTCCTCGGGGCGGTTGGACCGGGCTGTAGGCTGCGGCCATTTCCCTGAGCACGAGCTGTGCTGTCAGAGGAGCAGAGCCGTGCCCTGCCGTGCCGGCCCTGTTCCAGCGGCCTTGGCTTAATCTGCGGCAGCTGAGAGGCAGCGATGGGAGCTGGGGGAAGAGGCGGCTGCCAGGGCTGCCTCGCCGTGGGGCTGCAGGGTGTTTGTGTTTACCCCTTACAGCCTCTGAGATAACGGTTTAGCTGCGCTTTTTTTTTTTTTTTTTTTTTTATGGCTTTTGCTGATTGCTGTTAGGAGTAACCGTCCACCCTCCGTGCTACGAGCAGAAAGCCCGAGGGCAGCGTACCCCAGTACCTTCTCCAAGACCCCCCATCCCCTCCCGGTGGATCTGCTCCCCTGGCAGACACGCGTCTAGCTGCTCTCCAACACGTGGGGTGTCCCCCGTCCTCCTGCCTCATTATCCTTCTAAATCAGAGTCTTTCCTGCTGTCTAAGCCACATCCCCTGGCTGCAGCTTAATCCTGAGATTTCTTACCCAGCCTGCAGCGACAAGAGGAACATTATTCCCTTTGTCTCTGCTGCAGCCATGTTTTGAAACCTGTTGCCATGTCTCCCCTCAGCCTCCCCTATTTCTTCATCCTTTGCTCCACAGCCCACATGTTCAAGGTCTCTTATCTGAGCCTTGTTACCGTCTGGGCGCCTTCCTCGTGAGCTGTGTCCTCGTGGGGCCGGCCTTGGGCCGGCCTTGCTGCTGTGGGGGAGGAAGGATGATTCCTGCGTCCTATCGGGTGGCCCTGACAGCCTGTTCCCCTCGCGAGGCGTTTGTTCTTTCTGCAGCTCTGGGCCCGACTCGCGTTCGCCTGGTGATTCACTGCAACGCGCCGATCCTCTGCTGCGGAGCTGTTGCCCTTCCTCAGCTTGTACGGACGTGGGGAATCGCTCCGGCCTTGGAGCCGTGCCCCTTGCCAGGCTGAATCCCGCGGTCTCGGACGGCTCTCCCAGGGCACTGGGATCCTTCTGAACTTTCTGCCTGGGAGTCAAAAGATGATACACAAACGAACGAAGCGAAAAAGGCCGAGAAGCGTTGCGATATGCCCGAGGGGCTGGAGGCTGGGGTTCAAAGGGGAGGCGGCATCGGGATTTTGTGCTTAGCGTGGGGCTCAGGAGAAGCAAGTTCCCATCCGTGTCTCTGCTACGTGTCTCTGACGGCTTCGCTCGTGTGCCTGGGGCACGGTGCTAATGCTCCTCTCCTTGCTCTGTTGCAGACTCTGCCATATTCCCCACCATGGGTGACATGAAAACTCCAGATTTCGATGACCTTCTGGCAGCTTTCGATATTCCTGACATCGACACGAACGAGGCCATCCATTCCGGCCATGAGGAAGCTGATGCTCACATCAAGCAAGTCCCTGGGGAGCCGGGACCCCCTGACCACGTCCTCCCCCACACAGACATCACCGCCGTCAGCGTGATTGTGAAGAACACCGTCTGCCCCGAGCAGCTCGATGCCCTGGATGGGCGCAGCAAAGATGGGCACGTCATCGGGCCCCGCTTGCTGCAGAATGGCTTTGGGGCCACCGAGATGCCCAGGTCCCCCACCTCCAGGTCCGTGGAAGCTGTGGCATCCTCCAACGGGGAGTGCTGGGTGAAGGAAAAAGGCCCCAAGCCCCTGGATATCTTCTCCCATTTTAGCCCCGATCCCAACGAAGACAACGCTGCCAACCTGATTGACAGACCCCGGGAGTGTAAGCCGAAAGAGAAATCCCTCGCCGTGCCCTCCCTGTCCCCATCTCCCACCCCGTCGCTGGACTGCAAGGAGCCCATGGGAGAGAGCGCGGACAGCCTGCCCCCGGCCTTCCCCCAGCCCTTCGAAACGGGCCAGGCGGGGGGTGCGAGCGGGTCCCCTCCTACCATCCCCTGCATCAAAAAAGAGGAGTCTGACTCGGAGGAGGTGGGCCGCGAGGCCAGCCCGAAGGGTTTGGCTGCAGCCTTGGGTGACAGTCCCTTGGATCACCTGAAATCGGTCACCGTGCGCTACTCCACGGATGATTCTCCCATCGCGTCCTGGCCCGGTTCTGACCCAAACCTCGACAGCAGCACCAGCAACCTTCCTGAAGTGAAGCGCTCGCCCGCCAGCCCCCGGGAGCCCTTCTTCAAGCCTTCCTCGCCGGTGGTACAGAGCCCCAGGCTCCCCGCTTCCCCAAAGCAGCTGGACAGCATCACCCTCAAGGAAGAGCAAGAAGTTCTGGATAAGTCGATGGGAAGCCCGCAGAGTATGTCCAGTGCTGAGGAAGAGGAGGAGGAAGAAGACAACAACAATGATTCCCCTTCTTCCAATTCCTCGCGGCCCCTGAAAGTGCGGATTAAAACCATCAAAACATCTTGTGGCAGCATCACCCGGACGGTGACCAGGGTCTCGTCGGATTCAGAGCCGGGCTCCACCAAGGGCCCGGCCGAGCAGAGCTCGCAGGAGACTTCCCTTGAAAGCGCTGGCTTCTCCGCGTCGGCAGAGAAGGAGGAAGGGATCGTACTGGAGGTGCCCAAGGAGAAAATGGAGCTCTCCAGCCCCTTGAAAACCATCGAGGGGCCAAAAATCGTCAGTGTTCAGCTTGGCAATGGCACCAAGCTCAAAGGGACTGTCCTGCCCGTCTCCACCATCCAGAACGCCAGCAGCGCCATGCTGATCGCTGCCAGCGTGGCTCAGCAAAAGTCCGTGGTGCTGCCGGCGAAGACGGGTAAAGCCGTGGCCAAGAACATCATCAACCTGGTGCCACAGACCCTGCCCAAAGCCGACACCAGGACCAACGTCAGCACCGTGACGCAGACCACCACCATCACCACCACGGCCAACCAGAAAGTCAACGGCACCACAGTTGTGATGGTGCAGCCGCAGAAGCCCTCCCCTACCATCGCAGGCACGGTCATTTCCAGGAGCCAGTCCAGCCTCGTGGAAGCCTTCAACAAGATCCTCAACAGTAAAAACCTCTTGCCAACGTACAAACCCAACCTGAATCCTCCGGCTGATGCGAGCCTCACCCTGCCTCCCTTCGGGTACCGCTGCCTGGAGTGCGGGGACTCCTTTGCCCTGGAGAAGAGCTTGGCTCGCCACTACGACCGGCGAAGCATGCGCATCGAGGTAACCTGCAACCACTGCACCAAGCGCCTCGTCTTCTTCAACAAGTGCAGTTTGCTCCTGCACGCCCGGGAGCACAAGGACAAAGGCCTGGTGATGCAGTGCTCCCATTTGGTCATGAGGCCCATTGCTTTGGATCAGATGATCGGGCAGCCAGACATCACCCCCCTGGTCTCGGTGACCTCCTTCCCCGCTAGCAAAGTGGCCGGCGTGGCTCAGGACGCCCTGGCCACAGCCAACGGGGCTCAGGACCTCCCCATCCTGCCTCTGAGCAACAGCTCGGAGCAGACCAACTACAGCTGCTTCAGGTGCCTGGAGTGCAAAGAGCAATGCAAAGACAAAGCCGGGCTGGCCGCGCATTTCCAGCAGGCAGTGACCACGGGGACGACCAGCAGCACGGTACGTAGGCTGGGGGGCAGGGGGGCAGTGGGAGTTGGGCGTTAGAGCCGCAGCAAACCGGCCCTGGGGGCGCGGGACAGAAGTGGAGGGCTCTTCAAACGTGATGGAGGCACTGCCTGCCCGTGTGTGCCCGATTCCTCCCAATGTAAAACTCAGCAGGGAGGAAAAACGCGCGGGCCGGGGTTGGGTCCGTGCCCCCGAGGCGCTGGGTGAGGGAAGGGGGGGCTGCTGTTGGCAGGGGGGGGAGAGTGGGTCCCCGAGGCTCGGTGCCCTGCCTGCTGGCACCCGCTGCGGGACGCGGCCGTCCCCACGGAGCCATGTTAGAGCCGTGGGCGCTGCTTCCTCTTTCGCCAGCTTGAAGCACAAATGGAGTCTGGAGAAACCAGGGGGTGTGTTGGTTTGGTTGTTTTTTTTTTTTTTTTTTTTTTTTTTCCTCCCCCTCTTTGAGAGCTGGCCTTGGGATCCTGGGCGCTTTCTGCCGCTGCCAACACATCCTGGTTTGTTAGGGCAGGCAGCATCCAGAAAACACACAGGAGTAACACTGCCGAGGGATGACCTTTAAAAGGCAAGGAGGGAAAACAGGTCCACAGAGGAGCCCTGTCCTCCCTGGGGCAAGCCTTCACCTTTCCCTTTGTCCAGAGACGTTCAGCCCCCTCGGCTTCCTTTGCACAGAAGGAATTTGCTGTTTCCTGGTAACTCTGTTTACTTTGAAGCTGCTGCTGTAGCCAGAACCCTGTTCAAATGCAGATATTATGGCCCCAGTGCCACGGAGGAGGGCTGCTTTCTGTCTGAAGGTCACCGGGAGTGCCAAGATTCACGTGCTTACACGGATTGTCCCGAGGAGCTGGCTTTCAACAGGGGAGGATTTCTTACTCCCATCCCCTCTCCTCGCCTTGGTGTCGACGGAGGGTTTGGGCTGTGGTGAAGACAGACAGTCTGCACCGGAGGTGCGGCAGGAGCAGTGAGAGGGCACAAAGAGGAGGAGACCAGGGACAGGAGAGCCAGGGGAAATCATCCTTATCTCCCCGCAGGCATCTGCTGCCTGTGAGTGCGGCAGCATAATGTTTCTAGCTCAGAGAGCCCATCTGCAGGGAGCGCCTGAGCTCGGAAATTCAATGTGAAGTTGCTGGCAGGGCAAAACCTGTTAACAGCCTTCAGCTAGCCAGAGTGGCTTTGTCCTCGTGCCCAGCAGACGGACTTGTCCCTAAATCAACACCACCTACAAACAGCTTTTTTTTTTTTTCGCCCTTTAAAAAAAAAAAAAAAGACCCAGTGGCTCTCCTCGGCACAGGGAGGGATGGGGATGGCTGAAGCCAGACGCCACCGTAATACTCGCCCTCACCTGCCGCCTTTCATGCCCCCTCCCTCCCCGACGTGCACCCCGTCCCTGCTCCATCTCCCAGCCTGTCTTTAGCTGCTGTTCCCTGTCCGATTTCTCATTTCTGCTTGTTGTCACCCTTGGGTGTCTCTTGGCAGCGCTTTGGGCCCCAGTCCGGGTGCCGGCAGCGAGGGGAGCCCGAGGGCAGCTTGCTGTGCCGGGGGCTGCTCCTTTCCTTCCTCGCTCACCTCTGCTCTGCTTCTCACATCTCTCAGGGCAGCTCCTATTGGAAGCCCCATCCTATTTCCTCGCGTCCTTGCCCACTTCTCCCCTCGACATCCCCGTGTCCGTACCCTGGCGTGGAGTTGGAATTAGTTTCAAAATGGTTTTGGCAGCTGGTTTGAATACGCCCCCGCTCCCTCCAGTACAGCTCCCTTGCCAGGCGGCTGGTCCCAGCTAACCCCTGGCCCGCGCTGCCTCTGGGACCCATCTGTGATGAAAAGCCTGGAAAAGGCATCCCGCCTGCTTGCGAAACGCTCTCAACGATTTCCCAGCAAGCCAGGCAAGCAGATTATCTCCCAAACGTGCCCTGCAGGGTCCCGGCGCTTCTCTTCCCCCAGGGGCACGTGGCTTGGGGCTGCTTTGGGTGCTGCCGGTTGTTAGTCCGTCCATCTGTGGAAAAGGCTTAAAAAGCCCTTTTGTACACGTGGGTGTGTGCCAGGCTGACCCTCTCGCTGCTCCTCTCCCCCCAGGTTTGCACAACGTGTCCCATGATCATGTCCAACCGCTGCAGCTTTAACGCCCATCAGCGGATGCACAAAAACCGGCCTCCCCACGTCTGCCCCGAGTGCGGAGGGAATTTCCTCCTGGCGAACTTCGAGACCCACCTGAAGGAGGCCTGCCTGCACTTCTCCCGCAGAGTGGGGTACAGGTAGGGCACCGCGGCCCGAGCTCGGGGCAGGGAGACCTGGGGGGACCCAAGGCCTGAAGGGGACAGTCCCGAGTCTCCCATTTAGTGGAGCAGGAATCCACATTCCCTCTCCCCACCAGTGCTGGGTGCAGGGCTGAGGGTGAGCGTCTCACTTCACCCCTTCTCTGGCTCTCACCCCTTTAGCCCCAGGGGGATTTTCATCCCCCCGGGACCTCCTGGCCACTGTTGCACCTCGGTCAGGGCTGGCGGCATCAGACCCCACAGTCTCTCCTTGCTCCTTCTGATGAGCTGCCCAGGCCCTGGATCCACCGGCACTGGGCAGGACTGGTTGCTCCAAACTGGGGTTCTCCCAGAGCCCAGAACTGGTTCGGATCCTGGTGTGTGTTGGGGCAGGGGCTCTCCCTGAGTCCCGTGGTCGGACAGGGAGCAGGCGTGGACTCGCATGCTCCGGTTTCTCTTTGCTGTTGGCACTTGGTGTGCGCCGGTCCGTGGCACGGCTGAGCTCCCCTGTGCTCTTTGTCCCCTACCCCTTTCCCCCCTGCTCTCCAGGTGTCCCAGCTGCGCTGTGGTCTTCGGTGGGGTCAACTCCATCAAGTCCCACATCCAGACCTCCCACTGCGAGGTGTTCCACAAGTGCCCCATCTGCCCCATGGCGTTCAAGTCGGCCCCCAGCGCCCACGCGCATGTCTACACGCAGCACCCTGGCTTCAGCAACCAGCAGTCCAAGTAAGTGTTCCCCGTGAGCCGGCGTCCCGACAGAGCTCGGCCAGAAGAGATCACAGCTAACAAGCGATAGGACGAGAGGAGACGGCCTCGAGTTGCGCCAGGGGAGGTTTAGATCCGATATTGGGAAGAATTTCTTCCCCAAAAGGGTTGTCAAGCATTGGAACAGGCTGCCCGGGGAAGCGGTTGAGTCACCACCCCCGGGGGGTGTTTAAAAGACGCGTAGAGGTGGCACTGAGGGACATGGCTTAGTGGTGGACTTGGCAGTGCGGGGTTAATGGTTGGACTCGACGACGTTAAAGGTCTTACTGACCTAAACGATTCTGTGATTCCAGGAGCATCCTCGGTGGGTGGGACGTTGAGGGAAGAGCTCAGCACCAGCACGGGGGGCTGCATCCATCTCCTTTGTGAAAGTGACCCTTGGTGTGGGCCGGGCTGGGCCCAGGGCTGCTCTCAACCCTCTTGCCCAAAGGGTTCTTCCAAGATTCTCTTGATCCAGCCGCAGGCTGAGCCACCAGTGCTGTTCTTTCCTCCGACAGAATGATTTACAAGTGTGCAATGTGCGACACGGTCTTCACCCACAAGCCCCTGCTCTCCTCCCACTTCGACCAGCATCTGCTCAACCAGCGGGTCAGCGTCTTCAAGTGTCCGGACTGCCCGCTGCTCTTCGCCCAGAAGCGCACCATGCTGGAGCACCTCAAGGTAATGCTGTGGCCGGGCTCGGCGCTCTTTGCACGTTGAGGTTAATATTTGAGCCCTGTCCTTCAGCAGGGGCGTCTGCGGCTGGGGGAGCGCTGTCAGTTCATCGCAGACGCGGCAGGGCCCTGGGATCCGGTTCCCTTGGCCCCCCTGTGCCAAAGCCTGAGGAGATGAGCAGGCTGGGGGGGCAAATCCTGACCCCAAGCAGCCGCCAACACCCTTGTCTTGCCTTTCCAGAACACTCATCAGCCCCAGAAGCCCAAGGAAGACCTGGCAAAGAAGGCGGCTGTCCTGCTCACGCCGAAGCAGGAGCCTGTCGAAACCCCCGTGTCCAAGATCTCGGAGGAGTCGTCGTCCTCCACGGAGGAGGATGAGCCCCCCAGCTCCCCGGAGCTGCGCAAGACCAAGCGAAGCCGCTTCCAGCGCAAGACGGTCAACAAGTCGAAGGGCAGCGGGTGGACGTGCAGCGTTTGCCACTCCTGGTTCCCGGAGCGCGACGAGTACGTCTCCCACATGAAGAAGGACCACGGCAAGGTGAGGGGAAGGCTGGGGGCTCCAGCTGCGGCTCTGCCGAGCCCTGGGAAACGTGGGCAGGGAATGTTTGTGGCACCGAGCAGCGGGGGGGGGGGGACACCCCGGTTCCCTGCTGGGCCGGGAGCGTGTTCTGCTGCAGTCTGGACGTTGCTTCTCCCCCCGGTACAAACTGGGTCGGGGTTGGGGGGCTTGGGGAGCGGGGCCGTTACCCGCTCTGGTGAGCAGCAAAGACCAGATATCGTTACCCAGATGTGCAGCCCTGGGATGGGCAAGGAGGGGAAAGCTGAGGCAGCGCCCAGCTCCCAGGCCTGGCCTCTCTGCGCTCGCCGGCCCCACGTGCCTCCCTCCGTTTCTTGCAGTCGGTGAAGAAGTTCCCGTGCCACCTGTGCGAGCGTTCGTTCTGCTCCGCTCCCAGCCTCCGGAGACACGTGCGAGTGAATCACGAGGGGATCAAGCGCGTCTATCCCTGCCGGTACCCGCAGCGCCTTCTGGTTTGGCTGAGAGGAGGGGTCTGGTTCGAGAGGGGCCACTCGGGTTTCCCCCGATCGAGCTGGGGCACAGAGGATAAAACTCCAGATGGTCGAAGGACCGAACAAGTGCCTGGGGAGGAGGAGGGAGAGGAGGCACCGGGAAGGACTCTGGGGTTTTATACCCTCTGGAGGAACGTGGCTGAGCACGTTTGGGGTTGGAGTGGGGGGTCGTGGTGCCGGGGCTGGAGCGGGCCGGCGGCTCGGCTCCTCGCTGCGCAGAGTCGCCTCACGGCTGCCCTGCTCTGGCCCGGCAGGTACTGCACAGAGGGGAAACGGACCTTCAGCAGCCGGCTCATCCTGGAGAAACACATCCAGGTGCGACACGGCATCAAGGTGACCGACCAGACGAAGAGCCAGGAGGTCGTTATCGCCCGGATAGGGACCGGCACCGCGCAGGTACGGGGGCTCTCAGGGTGCTCACAAAGGGCTGGGGCCTCGTGGGGATTTCAGGCAGGGCCGAAGGCATCGCCGTGATCCTGATCCCGGTTTGCTCTTGCCTCCAACCATCCTGCAGCCCTCGGCACCGGCAGCTCCCTCCCAGTGCGAGGCCCAGCGCCCGCTGGGTGGGTGCGGGCCCCGGCTGGGCGCCGCTCGCTCCCCTCCCGCCTCGCCCTGCCGCGCTGGCCGGGGCTGAGCTCAGCTGGCCCGGCCTCTCGCTGCGTGCTGGGAGAAAATGCAAAACATCCCGGCTTGCGTGGGAGCTGCTCCGGGCTGCGAGGGGGGGAACGGGCGAGCCCGAGGCCGTGGTGGGAGCCCCCTGGCCGGGGGGGGGGAGCAGCTCCTGGGGCCGGCCGAGGCCTCTTTGGCCTTTAGCTGAGCAAAGGTCTGCGGGAGCCCCCCGGGAGATCCCTGAGCGGGGGATTCGTGGCAGGAGCCACTCGAATCGGGCACCGGTTAAAGCTCCCCCCGAACTGTTCCCGCAGGTGTCCAGTCGGAAGCGGAAACTGTCCTCGGATGAGGGCGACTCGTGCAGCGAGGAGCCCGACAGCACCACCCCCCCCTCCAAAAACCCCAAGGGCGACCGCAAGGCCCCCTTCCGCTGCCGAAAATGCGGTTACCTCGCCAGCAGCTCCGCTGACTTCCAGGAGCACATCCCCCAGCACCGGACTGACGAGAGCTCCCACCAGTGCCGGGAGTGCGGGCTCTGCTTCACCTCCCAGGTCTCCCTCAACCGCCACCGCTTCATCACCCACAAGAAGAAGAAGGGAGCGGGCGAGGTGGAGGAACCGGGGCCCCGCAGCCCCCTGGAAGGAGGCGCCCAGCACGCGGCCGACGGCAAGCTCTCCTGCAAGGTGTGCGGCCGCTGCTTTGACAGCCAGCTCAACCTCAAGACGCACTTCCGCACCCACGGCATGGCCTTCATCCGCGCCCGGCAGAACGCGAGCCCCGAGAACTAGGGCCCCGGCAGAGGGGGAGCGAGACGTGTACAGAAGGAGCACCGAGCTCCGCGCCGCTGGCGCCCGCCTGGGCCCCCCTCCCTCCCCTCCCGCCCGCCCTCCCTCCCCTGGGCAGCGTTTCGGCGTGGGGCTGGCTGAAGGAGCCGTGAAGCGAGACGAGAAGCCGGCCTGATGCCACGGGCCTGGCTCGCTGAGGGGCTCGGCCCCCCGGGTTCTGGGCGAGGGCCGGGGGAAGGCAGGAGTGCGGCTGCCTGAGGGCACAGGAGAGGAAGGGCAGAGCCCGGACTCGCTGCACTGCGACCGAAAGGTTTGTCGGCTGCTCCGCCCTCCCGTGGGGACGCGACCCGCCCCACAGCCACGCGTGTCTGTGGGGAGGGGCAGTGGCCTTCCTCCCGCGGGGATGAGGATGACACCCTGTGCCCCGCGGCTCTTCCCGGCTGCCCTGTCCGTGCTGGCAGCGAAGCCCGGCCGAGGATGGAGCCGTCTGTGCTGACAATAACGTCGCAGCAAAATCCACCTTTTTTTTTTTTTTTTGGATTTTTTTCCCTTTTTTTTTTTTTTTTTTTTTTTTTCTTTCTCTTTTTGAATGTTGCTTGTTTCGTATTTTGCCGGGACCTGCGGGGTCTCCCATCGTCGCAGACGCCCCAGCCCCTCCCGGGCTCCGCTCACCGGCCCGAGGTCCCTGTCACCGTCACTTGCACTAACGGGGCGGCGTTGGCCTTCGGACGGTCACCGCTTCGGGGCCCTGGCCGGCACCTTCCCCGCGGAGGAGGAGGAGGAGGAGGAGGAAGAGGCTGTCGTTTGCAGAGGAGAAGCAGAAGCCAAACGTGGGTCTCTGGGTGAGATGGGTGCGAGCCCGGTGGCACCGTCACCCCCAGCGAGGGGGGGGCTCTCCCCACACCCCGGCTGCCGACGCCCGTTACGGACCCAAACGCTGACGGTGAGTCTCGGGGGGCTTTTCCCAGGGGCGCTGGTGTCACCCACGGCCGCCCCCCCCCTCCCGCCCGGGCCTGCAGCCGGGCTCGGCTTCACCGCCTGCTCCTCTTCCTCGGCCCCGGCGCCGCGGGGCCACCACCGCGTCCCGCAGGACCTGCGTGCGGGGAAGGAGGAAAAAAAAAAAAAAAAAAAACCAAAACAAAAAAAAAAAAAACAGCCGCAAAAGAAACTTTCTACTTGTTCTGTTTGTTTAGCGCCTGTGCTTGGGGTAGGGTGTTTGTGTGAGTAATTATTTCAGTAACTTAACTTTGGGCTCCTTATTTGTGAATAACCTCTAACACGCTGTGTAAAGTTGTATCATACACTAAAAGTGACAAAAAAAAAAAACAAACTACTGTTGTGATTTTGGGTTTTGGTTTGTTTTGTTTTCTTATTTTCTGGGGTGGGGAAAGCTTGTTTGCTGGGGTTGGGGTTTGGTTTCTTTTTTTTTTCCCCCCCTTTTTTTTTTTTTTTCTCCTTTTTTTTTAAGTGCAAGGGGCTAATCCTCCCCTCACTGCAGGTGGATTCAGCTGAACGGCACGCAGAGGCAGGCAGGGGGGGCTTTTAAAATAAAAGGAGAAAAAAATAAAAAAAGTGACCAGCAGTTCCCCCAGCCCAGGTGCCCCCCCCCCCCCAGCGCTGAGCCTCCCTGCTGCGTCCCCCCCAGCGCGTGGGGCTGTGAACGTGTAAATGATGTTTAATAATAGAGAAGACCCTAAAGTTTCTACGAGTTTTAGAGGAAGGAAACAAAACAAATTGCTTTGTAATCTTGGTTTTCAAGCACTTCAGTGCCTTTAGATCGACTTCTGTTGAGGCGGGTGGGGGGCGGCTGTTCTGGGGTTTAGGGGTTGTGATTCTGCTACAGTAAAACTACGGGCACTGCAAGAGGCTCTCAGGTATCCTTTATTCTTGTAGTAATAATGCAATTAAACTTTTAGTGGTTTAACCCCTGCTGTGCCCTGTCTTGCTTACCTGGCCCCGCGTGTGGCCCGGGAGGGGTCCTGTGTCCCCCCACCCCATCACAACCGTGTTGGTCCTGCCCCAAACTGGGGGTGAAGGGGCTGAGTGTCCCCCCCCCCCACTGCCCCCCCCTGCTTCCCCAGAGAGGCTGTGGGGCTCCTGAGCCCCCCCGGCTGCATCTCTGGGATGGGGAGTGGGGGGGGGGGGACGACACCCCCAAACAAGGTCTGCAAGTGCCTGTGAGCCCAGGTTTAGGGTCCCCTTGGCCTGGGGACCACCCCCAATTAACACCCCCCCCCCCCAGGTGGCCACTGGCAGCTCCTCAGCATTTTAAAATAGAATTTTTGGATTTTTTTAATGCTAAATAATCAACGTGACAAATAATTAGTGCTAAACAAAGAGACCGAGGCCATCAGGGGTCACAGGCCGGCGCACTGGGCGAGGGGGGGCTCCGGGAGGGGACAACGCTCAGGGTGTCACCATCTGACCAGCAGGACAGGCTGAGCCTGGGGGGGGGCGGGGGGGGGCACTGCTCTTAAAGGGAGTGGGGGGGGCCCCTGCTGGGCGCCCAGGAGCCTGTAGGGGTTAAAACTTTTGGGCTGCCCCTTTTTCCTTCACCTGGGGCCCCCAGGAAGGCACCAGGCTCCTTCCTGGCCCAGAGCTTTTGGTGAAAGTCCACCCCCCCCCCACCTCCAGGGGGTAGAACGGGCCCCCCCAGCCCAGCTGCAGACTCGCCCCCCCCCACCCCTGCCTGACACTGGGCAAGGAAAAGCAGCCAGAAATTATTGCAAAAGTGGCAGGGGGGAGGAGAAAGAAGCTTCACAGTCCCAAATTCCTGGAACACAGTCAAAAAAAAAAAAAAAAGGAGGAGGCAGCACCTACACTCCCCCCCCCTCCCGGGGGGGGGTACCAGCCCCAGAACCCCCAACCTGGGCGCTGCAGTTGGGCTGGACTCGGGGACATTCAGCTTTCATTAAAAGATGGCTGGGGGGGTGGAAAGGGGGGTGAGAAATAAAGAAAAAGGGGCGGGGGGGGGGCAGGGTAACGCTGAGGCCGCGGCAGGGGAACATGCAGGGAAGGGGCCGCCGGGGTTCACCTCCGCCTGGTGCCGGTCACAGCGCTGCCGCGGGGGGGGGCCAGGCCCGTGTCCCCCCCCTCCCCAGGTCCTAAATATTTCATGAGCTTGTGGGAGAGTTCACGGGACACCGACGGGCGTAATACTGCCGGGAGGAAGAGGCGGGAGCGCGGGGCTGAGCGCTCCCCCCGGTCACCCCGCGCTCGCCGGGCAGCGGCCGTTACCGCCTGAGCCCTTCCGTTTCCATTTTCACCTGTGGGGTGCGGGGGTGGTTTTCTTTTTTTTTTTTTTTTTTTTTTTTTTTTTTTTTCCCCCCCTGCTTCGCCTGCTTCGTTTTTCCTTGTTGCATTTTGTTGAGGAGTCTTGGCAAAAGCAGTGCTGGGAAGATGCTGAGACTCGGCCGCCTTTTTACCGTGGAGGACCGAGCCCCCTTCCCCGGGGGCAAAGCTCGGGCCTGGGCCGGCGGCGGCGCGGAGCCAGCGCGGGAGCCCGGTGGCCCCTCACATGATGCCGTTGGTGAGGTACTGGAAGCCGTCGTAGAGCTTGGTGGTGATGGAGCGCATGCTGCCGTCCACCATCTGCTCGATGAGCAGCTGCAGCTGCTCCTCCGTCATGTTCATGTGGAACCGCTCCTTCAGGTTGCGGATGGTGCTCGAGCCGTGGAAGCAGGGGAGCTGCGACCCTGCGCCCAGGGAGGGAGCGGGTCGGCAGGGGGGGGGGGGGGGGGGGGGCAGCCCCCCCCTCCCCGGGGCCTCGGCCGCCCCGTTTCGCTGGCGCTGGCTCCGGCCCCGCCGAGGGAAGGGCAGCCCCCGGCGCCCGCGTGGGGGTCAGGCTTCCCCCCTCTCTTCCTGCGCCGCGGCGCAGCCCAGGCCCCCCCCAGCCCCCTGCGAGCTCCGAGAGGTAGAGGAGGGTCGGGCAGCGCTCCCCCTGCCAACGCAGCCGGGCAGACACGGGCCCCCCTCGGCCTCAGGGGACCCCACGTGCCCCAACCCCACGCCTTAGCGGGGCTGCCCACAGCCTCTCCTGCTACGCGACTTCTCCAAGCCCCAGGAGCTCCCCCCCCTTCGCCGCGGGTCACCCAGCCGTTCCCGGGCGATGCTCTGCGCAGCCCGGCCCACAGGTGGCACCGCTGGGTCCCCCCCCTTACCCTGCTGCATGATCTCCACGATCTGCACGACTTTGTCCATGTGCTTCCGGGCAGCGATGAGACCCTGCAGCATCAGCATCTTGTAGTAGTTGAACATGTCCCCGTCCAGCCCGCCCATCACCTGGAAGGGAGAGGCCGTGTGGGTGGAGGAAGCGCAGGCGGCCAGGGGGCCCTGAGCAGAGGGACTGGCAGCAGCGGGGGCCACGAGGGGATTTTCTCAGGATTCTCACTCCTCTGGGTGAACCCCCACTGCAAACGGAGCACATCCAGCTCCCAGCTGGGCCCCGAGAGCAGCTCGGCTGAGGCTGCAGCCCTGGCTGAGCGGCCGCGGGTGCCAACCCAGCTGCCAAGGGTTCCACTGTGCCACCCGACGCCGTGGGGTCACCCCTCGCCGACACCCCCCCCCACTCACTTACATCCACAAATTCCGTGGTGAGTTTGAAGGCAGACGTCTCAAAGCCAAGGTTCCTGGGGGAGCTGGAGAGGATGAACCCAAAGTCGATGTGGATGATGTGTCCATCCGCGTCCAGCAAGATGTTGCCGTTGTGCCTGCGCAGGAAACTTTGCATTAAGCTTTGCCATTCGTGTGCATGGCCCCAGGAGCAGCAGCACTCTCTGCTCCCAGGATTTCCTGGCTGTACCTGAGGACAAAATAACAAATCCCAGTAGAAGACACGACTCCGGTGCGGGGACCCACCTGTCCTTGACCTGCAGCAGGTAGCACACCAGGCAGTAACCGGCACAGCTCTGCACGAAATTCCTCTGCGCCGTCAGGAAGGATTCGGTGTTGTAATTGCCATGTTCTTGCAGGAAATAATCCAGCAGCGAAAGCAGGGATTGCTTCTTGATTTGGTGGATGGACACAGCATTCACGACTGGCTCAATCATGCCGCTGTCGGCGGAGATGACGAGGATTTTGTATGGCTTGATCCAGAGCGGCACGCGCTCCTGCTCCCAGATGGACTGTGGGAGAGAGTGAGAAAATCCCTGGGGATCCAGAGGGGATCCAGAGCGGCCCCAGCCCCCGCGGGCAGCCCCTCGCCCGTCTCACCTGCAGCTGCTTGAGCACCTGGAAGGCGAGCAGCTCCTGCCGGAGGTCGTCCCCGCACTTGACAATGACGGAGAGGAGGCGCCAGGAGGGCAGGTGGCCGTAGGGGGACCCTTCCCGGATCCTCCTGCAGAGAACGGGCCAGGTTGGGAGCGTGAGGAAGGGAGGGTGGGCAGCGAGTCAGGCCGGTCTGCCAGGGGCGCGGGGGCAAGGAAAGCCTCTGGAAACGCTCGGCAGAACGAGCTCCAGGGCCCAGCACTGCAAGAACCGAGCCCTCACCAAACCACGGTGCGGATCTCACCTGAGCTGCAGGCCGTCTCCGAGAACCGCAGAAAGGAAATAACCCTGCCCGAGTCCCCCAGCCCCTCCCTCAGAACAGTGTGGACAAGACCACCCCCAGATTTACAGAGCCCAGAGGGCTCTCCTCCCTGTTCAAGTTGAAATCTGGGGGTTGGACACACAACTCTAAGAGCCAGAACACAAACGAGTTTATTTTGGGATAGGACAAACTCTTCTGATGTAAAGGATGCCCATAAATACCTGGTAAAGCCCCTCAAAGCCCAACCCAAGAGCAGCAAACCTGCTGTGGACTTTCTCCCTCCTCCTGCACACCCACTGCCCGCTGCCCTCCGTCCCCCCCGTGTCCCGAGTCAACACACCCACCCTGGGGACGAGCGGGGCCTGAAGTCGAGGCCACGGTTATTTACTGGGCAAATCAGAGAGCAACTTTCTTGGATTCCCAGGACGTGCGAAGTCCCTGCAGCGCCGAGACCAACCCAGCTCCTCCAGCCCTACCTGACTTTCTCCTGCCAGGGCTCCTTCAGGGCGACAGCGGACGGGTCCTCGGGGTCCCTCTTGAAGGAGGTGGGGGTGTGTGCCAGCTGCTCCGAGAGCCGCCGCCTGCACGACAGAGCTGTTAAGCAGCAAAATCCTTTGCCGAGGGAGAAAGTAGCATCCCCGCACGCACCCAGAGCACTGGGCAAAGCGCGTGGGTTCACCCCAAGCCCGGGCCACATCCACCCCTTCGCCGGCAGCAAAGGTGCTGGCGGCTGAGCAGAGGCTGCACCAACCCCTTTACGCGCCTCTGCTTAGGGCTCTCACAAACCTCCACTGCCCAGAGCCTGCCCACCCCCTCCTTCACCTCTGCAGACTTTTTTTTTTTTTCCCTGGGAATCCAGCAGAGAAGTTCCACACCCTGTCCTTTTTGCACCCGAACTCCTAACCGCCCCCCTCCAATACTGCCCGGGCTGCCCTCGCCACGCCAGCCTCACCGGATGTCTCCGGCAGCGATGAACACCGGCTCCCTGCTCTCCTGGCTGGTGATGCTGTCCACGGAGAACTGGGAGATGTTGTCGCAGCTGTTGGTGTGAATCTCGGGCAGCTGGGAGGGGAAAGGTGCGAGAGGCGGGATGCGGCGGCTACCGAAACGCCGCTCCCGCTCGTCTTTTCCCCCAGGCAGGGGCTGGGGTGGCAGGCGCTGGAGCCCAGCAGCAGCCGCAGCGCCAGCAAGGGACCAATCCTGCCCTGCAGCCTGGGCCTCACCTCCACCTGCAGCTCCACGATATCGTCCACCGACCAAGCCTCGTCGTCGTTGTCGTAGTTGGGGACGGTGGTGAAGCTGCTGGTCCTCTGCTCGTGCGTGATCCCGCACTCGGGGAGGTTCTCGGCCGAGCGGGTGCTCCGGATGCGGTTCTCGGGGATCCGAGCGGGCACATTCGCTGTGTCGAAATTGTCACATTCAAGTACTTCGACGTAGATTAAATAGGGGGCCTGGGGGAGGCAAAACCAAGCGTTAGCGGGGAGCACGCGCCAGGAAGCAGCACGGTGCTCGCTGCTCTTGCAGGGCACGTGCTCTCCCCCTTTGGCGTGTGTGTTCTGAGGGCAGAGCGGTGCTTTTCAGTAGGTGTGGAACAGCACCCAGGCCAGGGCTGAACCTCCCGCAGTGCCTTACCGCGCACACTGCGGGGGACAGTTACCCTCAGGGGTATTTCTCCCCCTCCCAGCTGCCTGCACAGATCTCTCCCCAGCGCTCCCAGCCCTGAAGCAGTAACAAACCCTCCGCGCCGCGTGGCAGCCGCCGGGCTGCAAGGGGGGACCTTGCTCCCCCGCCCTGAGCATGTTTGTTTTGCTGAGACGCCCAAACGGTGTCTGTGCCGAGGACACAAACCCGCCTTCGGAGGCAGAACTGCTCCCGGGCCGCTCATACCTTGTCCTTGGAGTTGAGGACGACCGCCTGGGTGTGGGGCACCCGCACGACGTGATGGTCAAAGCCAGCCGTCGGGAGCCAGGCGCGCGCCGGCAGCTTGTGGTTCAGCAGCGACAGCTCCGAAATGAGCCGCTGGGTCTTCTGCTCTTTGGTCGGCAAAGTGGCCAGGCGCTTCCCGATGGCGATCAGGGATTTGATGAATTCCCTCTCAGGGGCAAGTCTGACAGGCTAAAAAAAGTTTTAGGGAAGGAGGGTGGGGGCAGAGTGTTATAAAGGCAGCAGGTCGGTGAGACACCAGCGCTTTTACAGTCCGGCTCCGCAGTCTAAAAGCACCCGGGTAAATTCCAGACCGAGGAGGAGGCTCTGCCCGGCCCTGCTCTCGGATGATGCTCCCGTGACCGGAGAGCCGGGCCCATCATCTGGAAGCAGAGCAGGGCAGGATCAAAGCGCTTTCCCCCCTCCCTTTGTGCTGTCCAGAAATCCTCCTCCCCAGCGCTCGGGAGCCAACGTCCTCACCAGAGCCCCGGGGACGCCCAGGGCCCGCAGCCGGCAGAGGGAGCGTCAATCCGCCTCATCCCCGGCTCGGCGCTGGCTTTTTTGTTGTAGCCTCACCCCGAAGCCTCAATCGTGGCTCAATCCAACCACTTTGCAAAGAGCAAACTGCGACTCGGGAAGCGCCTTGGACCCAGGAGCCCCCACCCACACCCCGCGGCTTAAGCCGAGCCCTCCGCTCAACTTTTTCAGGCTTTTAAATTAGAACAACAAACGATTGCAGCTGATTTTGCCATTTAAGATGCAGAATTAAACTTGCAAAGTGTTCACTGTACAATCATGCTGGAGGTGCACATGCAAAAAGCTACGGAGCGTGAGAAAAGGAAGCAAAGGAAAACACTGGAGAGCCGGGAATGGCTGCACAGCAAAATTAAAGGATGGTAAAAAGAGGAGAAAGATCAGTCTGGTGGTTCCCTTTTTGGGGAAGGGCAGGTGGGAAATCGTTTGTATTTGTAGTCCACGTCAAAAATCCTTCCAAACTCAGGGGTAAGCGCTGTCCTCTCCTCCAAAGCACTCTGCTCTCCTGCCCACCTCTCTAGTGAGCGCAGCAGGAGCGTCCTCGGGACAGGAGGAGGCATTTGCACGGCATCTAAGCCAGTGATATCGCTTTCACCTACACCAGGCAGAGGATAAATATTTAAAACCCTGCACCAGCTGATGCTCCGTCCCCTGAAGGGCTGGAAAGCGCCCGGTGCCAGCTGGCCCCTGCTCTGCCTCAGCTCCTGCCACCCAGCCCACCCTGCACCCCAACGCTCCTCCGGGACCATTTCCCTTGATTGCATTTAATTCAATTTCCACAAAAAGCACAACTATATGCAACAGATGCTCCTCCCGATGCCTCTTCCCATCCTCTCCCATCGAACCCCAACGGTTCTCGGGTTGATGCAGGTTTCCCCGTTTGGCACGCAGTCGATATTGTCCCCAAAACAGCCCCGTGCCCCCTCGCTCACTCTGACGTCTCTGCGCACTACTTGCCTCAGCAGAATAATTTAATGAGAGCACTGCTGGTGGGAATTTGGGATTGTGCCCAGGGGAGAAGGTGCCCACGTGCAGGAGCAGACACAAGCAAAGTCCTCCTGGTTGGGACCTGCGGGGATCTGTCTCTGGCAGTTTTTAAGTCCCTCTCCAGGGACCCCAAAGCACTCCTGATGCATCTTCTCCCTGTTTCATAGCAAGCAGCGCGAAGCCGTCCCGGCCCCGGGAGTGCCCCGCCGTCTCCGTGACCTGTTCTGCACCTCCGATGCTCAAGCTCCGCTTGAAAACCTTCAGGTCTTGGCTCCTCTGGCCCAAAACACGCAGCCGGGAAACCTCCTCCCTATCCTGCCCTGCTCCAAAGGCACCCCACCGAGCTCTGCTCCCGTCTTCGGTGTTATCGGGGGACTCGGCAGGGGAAGTTCACATCCTGTTATGGAGAAGCAGCTTTGGGAAACGGCATCAGCTGAACCGGGGCCATCCCTGGCCTGAGCCGTCGCAGGAAGCTCCCTCTCCAGCCTGCCCGCAGAGCTGCAGAGAGCGGGGCTGTGGGGAGCTGCTCTCGCCCCGGCTCGTTAATATCACGGTCCTGAAGCCAAGCGGAGAGAGGACGGGAGATGCTCTTCCCTCATCCGACCACTCGAAGGATCCTTCTGTTTTTCTGAGCCAACATAAACATTTACTTTCTACCGTTTACTTTCTCCTACAGCAAAACATTCCACTGGCAGCGCTTTGAAAAAAAAGTAATTCCTGCTCTTAAATGAGGCAGGGCTTTGTGTTTACGTTTTGCTAAGACACACTCGAGGAGTGTCCTCCTCCCCACGCCCCAGGACCGGGCAGGGACGATGACAGAGATCCATTCCTGGCTACAGGATCAGCAGAGGAGGGAGACCCAGCTGCACCCGACGGCTTTGGAGTGGGGCCGGAGGTGTCCCGTCGTGGCAGAGGGACCAGGCTGGTCCAGCTCTGCACAGCCGTCACGCCTGCGAGAGGTTTAAGCCTCTCAAAAACCAGGGGGGTTCATCCAGGACGCCTTCCAGCTCCAGCCACTGAAGTGTTTTCTGCTGTTGTACCTACCTTCACCCTGACACCCCACCTCTCCTCCGCTCAAATCGCCACAATTTGTCATTTGAGAGCTTTATACAGCAAAATCGTGGCTGCCTCCCATTTCTGCTGCCCACAGTCACTCACTCCACGGGAGCAAGATCCACCTGATCTACTCGGAGTTGGAAACTGCTCAGCGGTGCAGAGCAAAGCTGCCACCCGGCCCCTTCGGCTCAGCTGCCTGCCACACGGATTTCAGCATCAGCGCTGGTCACTGACGCCTGGCATGATTTACAGAAATGCCGCAACCGCTCGGCTGGGCGCAGGTGCCTGCAGCGGGGTTGTAAATTTGGCAGGGAGGTCTGCAGAGAGCCCCAGCTGCTGCAGTAACCATCTGCCTCGGATAAACAACCTGGGTCTGCAAAGCCTGGAAGGAAAGGGCTCCTGCCCCGGCGGAGCGGAGCCGGCTGCCCGGCCCTGGGTGACGGCGAGGCGGGTGGCACACCTGGGACCGGAGCTGCAAGCACTCTGCCCACCCTGAGCCTCAAAAAGCCGCCAGAGGAAGAGACGCCGCTGCCTCTGCCTGGCTGGGAGGAGCAGGAGGGGGAGAAAAATAAAGTGACTTACCTAAAGTTGGGTGGCAAACTGGGGACTTAGAGCCTGGCATCCTACCTCCCACCCAAGCACCAGCACCCCTGGGTGCCTGAGCACCCAACCGTCCCTCGCACCTCTCAAAAACTGTGGAGTTGGAGGAGATTTATAAAAATTAAAAGAGGAGTCTGCATCGGGGGGAACTTAGGGGTAAAAGCCTTGAGCCCTGTGTCTGTACGTGACTGCAGCGTCGACGCTCCTGCCTGCCTCCTGCCCGCACTGGGCCATGAGCAAAAGGTGTGAAAATTTTCCCCACCCGAAGGCCCAGAGGGATGAGAGCTGCGGCCACGCCAAATCACCCTCTCTAAGGGCTAAAAGGGCCGGAGGTCACCTCACCATACAAACCCTCTCCTGGCGGATGGGGGCCACGCAAGGCACCGCTGCCCGGGTAAGTGCTTTTGATCATGGACTACATATTCAACATGTGGAAGCCCACTGGGAATCCCAGACGGAGAACACACATCCACTGGCAGGAAAATGACACAGATGAGGAAGATGCTATTGATTAAAAAAAAATAATAAAATAAAATGAAAAAGGCTCATTTTGAGAGAAAAACGTTCTATTAGGGAAACGCTGGGTTTTGATTGAAAGACCAAAGTTTATCACACAGAAGGGGAAGAAAAATGATTCGTGAAAAAGCAAATTAATCCCATCTGGCAGAGAACTTTTAAGTAAAATTCAAGGAAACAGCATTTCCTCTTTCATCTGCGGACGCCGCCGCGCAAAGGTCAGCGACTACTCAGACCGAAATCGGCAGCATCAGCCAAGTCCCCCCCCGGCCTCCGCCGCTCGCTGGCGGTACGGGGGTTTCTCTCTCCCTCGCTGCCTTTTTTGGTGTTTTTTTTTTTTTGGGGGTGGGGATGGAGGGGGGGCGAAGGGGGGAATGAGCACCCAGGGGTGTTCTGCTTTGTTTTAGCCAAAGCGGTGCAAGTGAATTTGCCCCAAGCTCCCTTTCCGCCGGTGTTTCACCGAACAAGCCGGAAACGTTCCAACGGCGCCGGCACCGCCGCGGCGCGAGAGGCGGCCAGCACGGTGCCGGCGGCGGGGGGGACGCGCTGGCTTCGCCCGCGCCGGGGCCGCAGCGGCGCAGACGCCGGGGGGGGACACGGCCGGGGACCAGAGCTGCTTGCGGTGCATCGCCGGGTGCCGGGGTTTAGTGTTTTCGTGGCAGAGAGGAAATGCTGCTGTCGCGGGGGAGGCAGGCAGCCCGGGCGCGGGGATGAAACGGGCCACTTACGGGAGAGAATGGCTTATCGAGACTTTCCGTACTCGAGGAGAGCTCCTGGGAAACGGAGGAAAGGGGGTTTGGTGGCGGTTTTGGGTGGTGGTATTTGTTTAAAAGGAGAGAGAGGAAGGAGGGAGAGGGGGAGAAAAAGCAATAGTTTAGCTCCAGGTTCATAACCATCACTTTTCAGTTTGTTTGTTTTCTCTTTTTTTTTTTTTTTTTTTTTTTTTAATTTTTTTTCTTTTCCCCACCCCAGCATAATTTTGCTGCCTTTCACTCTTGGACAGGAAGCGGCACCTACACCGGCACGTGGCGCTTCCAGAGCAATGGGACAATTTGACGGATCTAACCCCGAGCCCGCTCTGGCCGAGGCCACTGGTGCTGGGGCCAGGCGGGGAGCAGGGCTCAGGGCTCAACGGCAGATCCTAGTGCTAAATGCCCATGAAACCCCCACAGGTTTTTCCCCATTCACATCCTTTAACATATTCTCCTACCCAGAAGCGTAACTAAGGTTTCAGCTCTGACTTTCTTGGCCCAAATCAGCTGCAGAGACGGGAGCTGCTAGGGCAGGCAGGGATGCTCGTGCTGGTATCTGCCCCAAGATCAGCCTCTCTCCATCAACAAAAACACTTTCTTTTTCTCCCCTAGACTCTAATTTAGCCTCTATTTTCAGCAGGTAAAATTAATTTCCCATGGAAATTGCCCTCAAAATTAAAAACCCCAACAATTAAACTACTGTCAAGTTGATGAGAGAGTTTTCATCGGTGGAAGGGTTGTTTTAAGCAGCAGCATCCCTGCACAGCCAAGCAAACCTCTGGTACCACGAGCACAAGCCACCAACCACGTTTCCCTGCGGCCACCGAAAGCTGCCCCGCACGGCCACCCAGACAGCGAGTTCCACCTCTACTCCAACCGCCCCACCACTGCAGCAGTACTGCACTTAGAGCCCATAAATCCATTACTTTCATGCCAAAGAGATAAAATGGAGCTTCGTGCCCTTGAGACCGGTGTGTAATTGGCTCTAAAATTCACTTCCCAAAAAGAAATAAACAGGTTTGGGTTTAGTGTGTTAATTACAGGGATACACTAATTCCGCCAGGCTTAGTCTCACCATAAGAAATAACAGCGTTTAAATTAATCGCTTCCGTGTGACCACATAAAAACCCCAACAGTGCTGAGACCCCGCAAGGCTCACCAAAAAAAAAAACATATCCGGAGCCCGAAGGCTGCTACGAGCTCACGTTGCTGCCTCCCTTCCCAGGCACCAGACTCATTCCTGGATCTTAAATCAAGACATTCAGGGTCAGAGTTTCCCGTTTTGTTGTAAGCAAGAAAAACCTCTAACCAGGAGGTCAGCAATGGGAGCAGGCTGTCGGGAGGTAAGCTGAAAAGCTTCTGAAACCACCGGCTGGTCCCCAGCTCCAGTGCAATTTCAAGCAGAGCCTATTCCACTAAAGCTGTACCAGTTTGTAATGATTGAGGCTAGAGTTTTCTAATTCCTCTCGGATCTAGGACCCAAGCTCCCAATTTTCATTTGAAAGTCTTAAATCAAGGTCACACACAACCTGTCCGGCGCAGGAGCGTGCTCTCTCCTTCGCCGTGCACAGCCTCCGCTCCCCGACGGCTTCACAAGTGGCACAGGATGCCATTACGTCTTTGATCCCACTGGAAACTTTAAAAAAATTGGTTTACCAACTTTATGAAAAAATACGAGCTGTGAAAATCACAACCGTCAACTACAGAAGCTGGAGGCAACCCCCCCCGCAGGCTCTGCACAGCTCAGTGGAAGCTGCTGTTAAACCAAAGCCCTCGGGTGAATGTAAGGTGTCAGTGCATGAACACAGCTAAAGGAAGGCTCTACCTGCCAACAAGGGGGTAACTTGCAAAGCGAACCAGGAAATACCTGTGACACCGGAGCAGAAAGAGCCGCGCTCGGGGCAGCACCTGCAGCACCTCCCCGCCGGGCCGGGAACGCCGGCGCGAGCCACCACGGAGTGTGGGAGCCGGGGCTGCCGCACCCCAACTCTCCAGGGAAACTCACGGCTCGGCCTGTTACAGCTTTGCTCTTCCCGGAGACAACCTCCGGCGCTGGTGCTTCTCAGCCGAGCCCCCAGCCCACCCGAGGTGCCCGTATCAATCGGGGCTCCAACCTCCGGAGGTTACCCACGCCGGGATTTTGCCGATCTCTCCCGGCCGCGGCGCAGAGCTGCCGAAGCCGGGGTGGGTTCCAGGTGCCAGGAAGCCGGCGTGCTGCTGTCCCGTCGCGTTTGCACCATCGTGCAGAAAATGAGTCAGAGCTGGCTTGGGGTGGGGGGGGGTGGGGGGTGAGTTCTGCCAAGGCTCAGCCCCGGGTCTGTCATTAAGCCGCTCCTCAGATGGAGCGCGGCCGAGACGTCGGGCTTTTAACCTCCTCTCCGGGAAGGCTGCAGTATCTGCTGTGGCTCAAATCACCGGCTCGCCACGCCGGGTGTGAGCGACAAAACCCGCTCGCGGCGTGAGGCCTGGATCCGGAGAGCAGGACAACAGACTTAGAGGGGGAATTCAATGCATCTTATTCTTCTGCTTAGCGTCTAAACCCCTGGCGTAACCTCAGCAGCTCCAGACACATTCAGAGCCGGTTCCTCCCCACCTGCCTGTGCTTCCAGCAACGTCATTTCACGGGCAGCTTCGCTCCCGGACTCCGACGGATGGTGAGCTGCAGGGGTGGAAAAGACTGGGGCAGAGCTTGGCCTAAACCCACCTGCTTCACCCAAAGGACGTGGCGGCAGAAGGACCCACTGCAGCACCCCGGGGTCTCCGTCGTTCCTTACTCCCCCACACCCACTGCAGCACAGCTCTGCCCCGGGACACAGTGGGGCAGCCCGACCCGCTGGCCACCCAATGAAAGGCATTTTTGGGGTCTCTATTCAATATCTGGTGATTTCCACAGGGAGGCCAGGTAGTTTTACAGCAGCCAGACAGCAAACTGCAGTAAAAAAACGCAAGAGGGGACACAGCTCGTTGTGCGAGCAGACCTAGTGAAGTTTGGGTTCCTCCAGATGCATCTGGCATCCCCCAAACCTTCCCCTCCCCCCAACAGCTCCAGCCACCCCAAAGCTTCCTGTGACACCTCGACACCTCACACGTCCCCTCGCCAGGGGCCTGGGGGGCTGCTTCAGCTCGGGGCACGCTGGCCAGCATCAGCAAGGGGCACACACATCTGCAAAACAGCTGACTCGACAAGACATAAAGAAACTTGGCACGTTTCTGGCTTCTCTCTGTGGCATTTGGTCAATGCTTCGAAAAGTTGCTGCTGGAGGAGACCAGGATCACACGAGACCCATTTCCCTGGGAAACCAGGCTGGAAGGAGCAGGAAAACGAACCACATTCAAAGGGTGCCAGCAGCACGACTCCTCTCCCTTGCAAACTCGACATATGGATGAGCCGTTTGCCAAGCGCGGGCGAGTTTCCAGATCTGTCACTCGGGAAACAAGAAGCCTTGAACGTTTAATACCCTGGTCTCAGCCGAAATGTAGGTGCAAAGCGGTGTTTGCAGTCGCCGTCTCTCTCCCCTTTACCTCCATCCCGCACCTGGCAGAAGGCTCATCCGCAGCCACCGTCTCCGCGGGGTTTGCTTTGGGGTTTTAAGGCCAAAATCCTTGGTCTTTCCTATGATGTAGGAACATTCAGCACCAGTAAACACATACCGTCATGCCAATAAAAATAACTTAATCTCTTTGTAAAGCGCTTGACAGGGAGCTCGGCACACTTTGGCCCTGACATCTCTTTCACTTCCACAAATCCTTCGCAGAAGGACTTTCCTACCTGTGATAAAACTAAAACAGATATTACGGATACCCTTAAAAATAATCTAAAATCAAGACAGCTCTTGACAGGGAAATGCCTCACCAGCACTGCTTGTATTATGGGAAAACGTAGAAGTTTTAGCTAAAAGACATCAAACCAGGATGCCCAGAGGAGTCAGACCTTGCAGTTTGAGCAACTGCTGTCACCGTGGCCAAGTGGCAGGGAGAGGGACGCCCTACCAAATCCAAAGGGACGATGCAGAAAAGATGCAAAACCTCCCAACTCAGACCCGTCCACGTAGCGCCGCCCTCGCAGCGATTTGCCACGACAGCGGCGAAAGCGATTCTCCGGGAGCCACACTGCTCTTATCGTGGTGGGGAAACAAGCTCTACCAGAAAAAGCACCTTTGCCAGTGTCGCTGGAGGTGCAGTTCCAGAGGTAAAAGGCCAACGCTCCTCCACACCCCGCCTGGCAAAGGCAGGGCAGGGACGTGGGCTAAAAAGCGAAAGACCAGGGTCAGATGTGTTGGGCAACCTTGAATAAAAAGCAGCTTTCAAATCCAGAAGGCGCCTGCAAGCACACATGCTCCGATAAGCGAATCCGTGCAGAAGCGCAGACGTAAACAGATTTGCATATAAACCCTCGCTGCCGTTTCTCAAGAGAACGCTGATGCTGCTGTTAAAAAAAATAAACCCCCACGCCGTGGGCAGCGCTCGCGTCGCGTGAAAGCTTTGCTCTTCCTCCACCACCCACCCACACGCAGTGGCCCCAAGTTAACAGCAAGGCGCTGGCATTTAAGAAGCTGCTGTTTCCAGCGCTCCTTTCCCGGCAGCCAGCCTAGATTCTTAACTGATTATTCAATTAGCAGTTTTCTAATTAAAATTTTTTTACTTGACTAGTGGAACCAGTTCAGCCAAACATCTCAGTTCACACGGAGACACGTCTGCCTGGCTTCTCCACCATCAGCCTGGCTCTGAGCAGGCCTTGGGTGCAAGCTAGCAGCTAAAGCAAACCATTCCCTTTTAAAAACAGCTGGTTTCAATCCAGTGGGTCAAAAAAATAATGTAAGAAGATGTCTTTTCCCCTCTGCTCTGCCCGTTTTGAACCTTGCTCTTAGCTCCTGAAGGGATCTGAGAGATGAACCACCCCTCTCCAGGCCGTCACTGTGATTTATTCTTTCCACCTCCGAGGCTTTGGGAGTTAAAACGCTGGTGGGAGGCAGAGCTGGGGCACGGGGAGCATCCTCCCTGTGTCATCCAGGTGCAAAGTC